GAGCGGCTAAAGCCTTTCCTCTACCTACATTCCCCAGAATGCTTTTCTGGATCAGAGTTCAGTGAAAATTGTATCGAACATATTTTCTTTTGATATTGATGATTTTCTGTTGGGATATATATTGTTACTGATTTATCGTCCACCGCTACTTTTTACGAATTTTCAAGTTTTGACTTTTCAAAGTCAACGGCACCTCCAGGGACGTTTCAGATGGATGGATGGATGGATGAATTTATTGATTGATTGATTTGTCAATTTATTTTTTATTGGGTTTTACATTTATGTCTGGATTGCAGAAGATGACCCTGTATGCCTAGCTTTGACCTGAATTTGACTCTCCATGGGGGGCAGTTGAGTGAACGTTTCTCCAGAGGGGGTCATGTTCTCCCCTGCTCACACTTTTGAGGGCGCCACTGTTCAGAGTCAGTCAAATCTCTTAGTTTTTGGCAATTTTGTAGCTTTTATTCTGAATTATTTTACACACCTTGACATAGATGATCTCCTTAGGCAGCACCTTCCCTCATTACACACATGTACAACTCTCTCTCTGTTGTTCAGTAGATTTTTCAATACGTTGATTTCCCTCAGGTCAGCTGCATGGTGGTGGCTGCAGGACTTTCCTGTGCAGCTGCAGTTGTCATCTTCGGCTACTCCTGTCTGACGTTGACCTATGGGGAAGAGGACGAAGATGTCTTCCACCAGCACAAAAGTGCCAAAGTGGTAACTACCGCACACAGCCAGCTGCATTCAGAGCTCTTCATTTGGAGGAACTTCAAGTACACACACTATGTCTGCTGTTTCACAGCCTTTCTAGCCTCTGACAGCAGTGACAGTAGCTGCTGACTACAAACCAGACAAGTTGAAGTGATTCATGCTTCTGAATCTTCTTTTATCTTGGTGGAACATGGTTTTAAGTGTGTGGCATGGCTCTGGAAGTATTTGTACCTAACAACAGCACACTGTGTTACACTGATATTATTTCTGTCTCCTATTCTAACTCAGACATTTGTTCTCCATCGGATGGTGAAAGGAGCCAATGCCACCATCATCCTGACCTGCACCATCAGCCTGGTTCTGTCCTCCCTCATTGGTTATGTGGGTTTCCGGAGTCTTCCATGCTGTGGCTGCTATGATTCCAGGACTGGACTGGTACGGACTGGTAGCCCACCGCCTCTCTGTGTGAGGCTTAAGGGTTAATCATATCATGGTACAATGTTTCTCCAAAGGTCATGCTGTTGTGTCTGTCAAAGTTGCTAATAGTCCAAATAGCTAATGTCTCAATTTAATCAATACTAGAAAATGTATTGATTTAAAATAACAGACTCTTAGCCCTTTATCATCCTGTGTTGTAAGTTTAACTTGCTAACGTGACAGAAAGAAAATATATGTGACTCTGTATCCAACAGGACTAACACAAAAGCATTCAGAGGAACTTTCTTATAAAGGCAGATGGGGGGGAAAAAAAAGGAATACCAAAGAATGACACGTGCTAGCTATGCTAACACTGATGCTTGAAAGCAGCCTAAAATGGACAGTGAAGCTCCTGTATCTGTGATGTAGTAAACTTCATGGAGCCACAAACAAACACTACCTGTTTCACCCTGCAGCGGTCAGAGATGGGTTCATTTGGACCCTTGAGTTTTTTACTACATGCGCCGTCCAGCAGTAGGATTGCGCTGACCTCGCGTGCACTTTTGCAAGGGATTTTTTGTGTAGTTTCGGAATATGATGGTTCCCCGGTGTCCCATCATGAGATTTGCTGCACTCCTCATAAGCATTGCGCTAAGACTGCAGGAGGGCTACATATTAGCTTCACGGACACATGCAGCCCTGTGATGGGCTGCAGTCGGTCGGAGCTCCACCATCAAGACAGCCTCACGAAGTTCAAAACTCCCCAATTTTTTGTTCTAATCTGCGTGATTAGACAGCTCAGACTCAGGTAAGGATGAGGCACTGTGTAGAATAAGATGTATTATAGGAATTTGTCACAAGTGTAGGAAATGGACACGGTCAATGAAATCTATGAAATTTCAATAGTGACAAAGGCAAAATGCTTCCCTGTAATTTGGCATATCCACCTAAATCCCCACCCACCGTTTAATCCACTCCACCCAAGACTGAAATCAGAAAGGTACGTGTCATGGAAACAGTTCCTGTTGCTATCAGTTGGGAAATTGCTCCTAATCCATGAACCCTTAGCAATAAACCACACAATCCTTGACCCGGTGCCCCTTCACTGCCTGCCAGCTCACATGAGCAAAGGACAGAATGTGTCAGTGATTAGATCACCACCACATGATTTAATTTAGTCAGTACCATCATGTTTATGAAGCATGGCAGAGAGCGAGAACCAAACCCAGCTCAGTCTGGTCTGTAAGTGAGGTATTTTATATTTGGTGAACTCTGCTCAAGTAATAATCATGCTTCATACTCTAAAGTTCAACACTGAATTTTGAATCATGTTTCCATTAACCTCTTTTTTTTTAAGTATCCAATTAGAAAAAGTCAATGGAAACAAGAAACAGCAAAATTTTAAATAACTTCCTCAGTTTCACAAAAAACGTTTTCACGCTCACTTGAGGTGGCTTTTGGCTTTTCTCAAACAGTTAATGTGCTACAGTGGAGATGGAAACACATTACATCAGCCTGATTCTGAAACATTTACCTCACATTACTGATTAGTTACAATCACTAGAGTTGCATTTCTTTCTCTGCTTCTCTGGACAGCATGCAACATTACCGATACTACAGACATGAGAGGACAACTTCAACATGTCCCAAGCAACACATTCCTGAACGTCTCTCTGTTTTCCTGAGATGTGTGGTCCATGCTAGTCTGTTTATTACAACCATGCATAATGTGAATATCTCATGAAATCACACTTTGGTGTGATTTGCCTGGTTGATTTGCTCTATTCTTTAGCAGTTAAGCGGTCAGAATCTAATCTATTAGCATATACAATAGCTTCAAAAACTCTGGTCTGAACTGCCCAACCTTAGCTTGGAAATAAAAAGTGTTGTATTTCAAATGTTGCAGTTTGTGTCCCATGTTTTAATTTAAAAAGCATCCATCAAGTATCACCTCCCTGAAATGTTATCGTCTGTTTCAGGAGACCCTGGTTCCTCAGAGTGATTCTGGAGACACTGAGTTGATATGTACTTGGCAAGGTAAGCCATCCAATCAAACATGGTCTGTTTGAGTGACAGTGTGTGGAGCTCCAGACACAGTGAAAGTCTTAATGTAAAAGTAAAGACATATGTCAGTATTGTTTTTCATGCATGGTGCATGTCAAGCCTGTTATTTTTTCAGATAAGTTTTGTTACCCAATACTTATCATTGTTAAGGTGTTTATTTGTGATATCATTAAAACTTTTAATCAAGTTAATTGCAGGGTCTGCTTTTAATCAGAATTAATGGAATTTTAATCCAAAGCATATCAACAAAGTAAGCAACATTTTTAGTTCAAAAACATTTTTTGCTGTTAAATTAGTTGTCATAACAAGGATTTCTTGTTTTAATCTGTTCTCCAGGTTATTCAGCCATCATAATAGGGCAAAGCACTATTAAAAAATACTTCTGATATCTGGTTTAACATTAGTGTTGTGGCCGTCAATGCTGTTGCTACATGTTTAGCACTGAGATGCTATTATGGGCTTGAATAGCTTCACTGACAGGTTAACTCTTTTTAGCACAGCCAGAGCACAATAGTCTTCTAATGTCCCATTAGATCTGTCTTTGAAGCAGAAATCCTCAGTTTGCCAAGAGAAACAGCTTTGTCGTCCATCGCTGCTGTTTGCATGTCACTTGTGCATCAGATTTACTGGTGTACCAGAAACACATGAATACAAAGGTTTCAGCTCTGAATTTTGGTATGGTTAAAAAGAACTGTGGTGAAATTTTTTTAACATGTTAAAATCAATGTAAGTAACTCATTAAGGTCCTGACCCTAAATATTGCCCATTCGGTATGTCTCAGCCGTCTTGTGATGTAGATCTCCTGTATGTCCAGCAGGTGGTGATGACAAACTTTTCAACTCTCCTCAAACATCTGCTGGAGTCACTGAAGAGGAAGAGGAGGCTCCCTCTAACCTTCCTCCATACAGCAGACTGACCTGACCCAGAACCCAGCAGCTCTGTAGACAGTTCCTGACCATCCAGCTGGTTTCATCACCACTCTAAGAACAGTTTCAGTGCTCTAACAGCCAATGAAGTTAAAGATCGGTCAGAGACTGATCAGTACAGCTTCCATCAGTTTCCCTTTAACTCCCTGTATTCTCTGAATCTAAAAGTTATGATTTTATTGTGTTTAATAAATACATTTGAACAGTAGTGTTTATTTGTTTTTGAACACTTGACAGCTTAAGATGACACTTGTCTCAAACATTTATTGCAAGGTGATGTATGGTGAAAGGAAGCACGTTCCTGTTTAAATTTGTTCCAAGGTGCAGCTGTCAGTCTGTTTTCAGTCACATCCAGAGCAGCAGCAGTATTTCCTGACGAAACATGATGCAAATGGATCAGATTCAGAGGAAAGCACTCAGTCTGGCTTGTACTGACAGGCCACAGAAAGGCTTGATTAGGTTCTTCATGTGAACAGAAAGTCCTGAGAGACAGCGACGAAGTGAAGCGTGAGGCGATCATCAGCAGAACCACAGGACCAGCTGTGGTCACACAGTAGCTTAAAACAAACAAGATGCAGGTTGGTGCTATTACTGTATGAATATACAAGCTTATTCCATATTTAGGAAAACACTCTTCTACATACACGATGGAGCACAAGCCTGAATAAAGTGTCTGATTCCTAGTGCATTCTAGTGGCAAAAGGCTCCAGATCTATGATGAAATAATTGAAAATAGGGAAACGCTTCATTGTCCCATTCAATACAGGTTTTGATCTACTTTAGCTGGTGAATTAAAGGGATAGCTAATATTTTAGAGTTCTGTTGCAGAGTAAAGTCCTACCTGCAATATATAGACATTTAAGTCAGAACAGCTAAATCAAAGGAGGGTGATTAGCATTGCTTGCTAACAGTTGATGGTGCCATCCAGGACATAATACATAATAATTTTAAGCTGTTAGCAAGTCATTACCATCATGAGACTGATTGATGCAGCTGGCATCAGTATCCACAATGACTCTGAAGGTACTTGGTGATATGAGTTATGAAAACATTTCATTCCCTGAATAAAGTATTTTTGTATAGAAGTGAATAAGAATAAAAATCTGAATTATCCCTTTAGGTCAGCAGCTAACGCAGCACTGCATTCCTTCCTGTTGATCAATTTGTTCAGAGATGTTACAAAAGCAGGTGTGGACATTTCACTCACATTCCACTAACACTGACATCCCAGTGTTAGTGGGCCGGTTCCTAGTAACAACACACACCATAGAATAAAAAAAGAGTAACAGTTTCATTACTGTTCCAAGAAAGACTAATTTGGCTGTTTGGAAATATTTCCAGTTGCAACAAACTAAGAGTCATGGTGTGAAACCTAAAGGGCCACAACTCATCACTATTATTAAGTAGGGATGCACAATATATCGACACTAACATCAGTATCAGCTGATATTAGTCATGTTTTAACATATCTGTATTGATTCGATACAGATAAGATAAATTATTAATATCCTCTTAAATTTGGATATCTGTGCATTCTTATTATAAACCCCTAAACAGTCATGATGACACCAACGCCAAATATGGCAACAAAGTTGGTGACAAAAAAAAAATATCTCTATCAGTCAAAATCAGAATCAGCAGTTCAGGCTTTTTACATATCAGTGATCAGCCAGAAAACTGCCATCGGTGCACCCCTAACTGAAACTGCTGAATCATTGTTTCTTATCACTGAGAGGCTCATACCAACCCATGCCCACTATGGAGTAGCTCAGAACCAATCCAGGAATTCACGTCGCTGGAATCCAGGCTCCAGCTAATCTCTGTTTTTTTAATCTGCCATCATTCCAGCTCGTCTCTAATGAAGCACACTGTCCTCTTAAAAAACAACACCAACATAAAGCCACTGAACGGTAAAATCAATGCAAAAACAAAAACAGCTGAATGTCCAGTTGAGAATTCGTTTGATTAAACAATCACCTTGGATACCAAACCACCGTATATAAAGATTTATCAGCTTCTGTGCTCAGTGTCTTCCATTTCACTCATGTTTACTCAGATGCCCTGACATAACTGGAAAATCCAAAGAACAGGTGAGCCCTGAAGGCATCAAACCGTGCTGCCAACCAGAGTGGACCTGCCTGGACCGGTCCTCCTCCTCATCCTCTTCTCTGCTCACTAAGGTGAAAATAGTTCTGTTACAATCACTTCTGGTCTCTAACAACCAAATAAAGCACCTTCGATTGGAATTTACTGCTAAAAAATGGGAGTTTTTATGGGAAAATTAGTTCCTCCACTACCCTGGCTCTGCATGCTTTAGGTGTCTCCTTGCTTCCAAACAGCTGAATTAAAGAATGAGTGACTGGCAGGCTCCTGCAGCAGTGAGTGTCTGCTGAGGAGGTCATGAATGCATCTAAAACATGCAGGGGAGGAGTGCATGGAGCAGGTTTATGAACCATTGTACTAATAGATTGGACAGGATATTTGGCAGTGAAACGGATCATATCTGGACAACATGAGCATCTGACCAGGAAACAGCTGAGTGAAGTGATGGCATAAAGGAAATCATGTAAACAAGCAGTATGGTTCGTCTACAATGGTGTACAAGGGCCATCGTAGACAGAGAAAAACAGGAGTAAATTTCCACAAATAAACTCATAATTTTCTAGAACAAACACATGGATATTTCTGAGTTTTATAAGTCGAAAATTTGCAACTTTTAATTTCAAAATTTCTCAGTTTTTTGTAGCAAACTTTAGACTTTTTCAAACTGGGAAACTTCCGTGTTTCTTCTAGAAAATTTCTGAGTAATCTCAACATTTGAATTTTGTTCTAGTGAATTTTAAATTTTTCAGACTCAGAAAATGTCCTTATTTTTTCTAGAAAATTTCTGAGGTTAATCTCAAAATGTCTGAGTTTTTGTATGTACTCTTCCTTTCTTTTTCTATCTATCATGGCCCTAACACGCTGTGGTATTCATCAGTGCTCTGAAGTTTTCCTCTCCTTGCTCCAGGTCTGGACAGCCAGTGAAGTTTGAGTCCTCAGCAGCTGCTGCAGCTCCACCCTCTGCCTCCGCCCCCGTCACTGCCGTCATTCCTCCCTCCGCTCAGGGTTATGGTGCCCCCCGACCCTTCAGGCGGCTGGCTCAGCACTAGAGGCTTCTGGGACTTGAGCTTGTGGGCCACAGTCATAAAGATGGCCTCGACGTGGTCGCTGTCACGGCAGCTCCCGTCTCCCAGGCTGTTGGGGCTTTTGGCGGACGTCTCAAACAGCGGCATAGAGTGAGTGTCCGCAAACTGCTGCGCTACGTCCGTGCCCACCTGGACCGAGTCCTGCAGGTCGCACTTGTTCCCCACCAGGATCCTGGGCACCTCGGTTCCCAGGGCATGCTGCTTGCACTCCTCGATCCAGGCGGGCAGGCTGCGGAAGCTGGCGGTGTTGGTCACATCATAGACAAACACCACAGCATGGACGTTGCGGTAGTAGTGCTGCACCATGGACTTCCTGAAGCGCTCTTGGCCGGCAGTGTCCCACAGCTGAATCTGGGGGGACAGAGCGGCCTCGTTATTTAGTTAACACGAAGTAAACCAGACTCTAGAAGCTCTGCTGCTTCCTCCACAGGACTGGGAGCGGTGGATAATAACAAGCAGCAGAGAGGAGGCAACATTCAATAAACCTCTGTTTCTTCCAACTAACTGAACATGTTATTTATCCATTATCAATTATTAGCATTACTATTATTTATACTTATAGTATAGTGAAACATCACGGGTTGTTAGCTGTAGTTAGTACTAATTGAATGCTATTTATTAACTATTTATCAGTTATTAGCATTACTATTATTTATACTTATAGTATAGTGAAACATCACGGGTTGTTAGCTGTAGTTAGTACTAATTGAATGCTATTTATTAACTATTTATCAGTTATTAGCATTACTACTATTATTAGGACTTGTGGCACAGTGAAATACTGTTATTGTTAGTCCACTACAGACCATGTTTACCCCACTGGATGACCTTAGATGACCCTGATGAAAACCAATGCTGTCCTGTAAATCATTACAACCAAACAGTTCAACCCAGCCTCCATCAGGCCATCAGATTGAGACCTTTAACTACACCAGAACAGCAGAGCATGTCCACATTCAATCAGTCAAATCACATCAGCCTGTACATCCAACCAGCCAATGCTGCAAAGCACAATGGGTAAGATACTTTTCAGCCTTCTGCTGTATGATATTCTGTTGCATGATGTTTTAATGTTTCCTGAACATTAAAACTTAAACTCAAAAATTAGAATTTGCTCTTAATCAACTGACCTGCTTATAAAAAAGTTAAAAATAAATAAAAAGCAAATGACATGGCTTAGCAGAGTTTCCCCAACAGCTGATGGTGTCATCCAGGTCATGTTACTGTGGAATATTATCTGCTGCCTGGATGTTGAGCTGTTAGCATGTCAGGACAGTCATATAGCAACCGTTTTCAGTCAGAGGCTTAAGACTGCAAGACTGCCAGCTACCTAATATCCCTCCTGACCACAACATCACCATCCATAATGACTACAGAAGTTACTCTGATTGAGTTATGGCGTAATTTAATTTAATTTACCTTTAGAATGAATAAAGTATTTTTTGTGTTGTGTGGTTTTAAGGTGAAAACATCAGCTCTTCTGTAAATTGGAGGAATATTTCTTTATATTTGGTTCTATAAGAGACGAAATAAATATTCACAGTTGCAATAGTTGCTTTTGCAATGAAATCCATTTAACCCATTATAGTTTTAGCTTTTGATATGTATTATGTTAATGAATTTTTCCGGCCTGCAGCAGTAGAACAGCCTCCTGCACCATTATGTTTACCAGACTGACGGTTTCAGTGTCTAAAAGGCCGCAGTGCACACCTTGATTTTCTCTCCGTCAATCTCCACCAGCCTCTCCCTGAAGTCCACCCCGATCGTGGCCTCGGTCTTCTCGGGGAACCTGCCCGCACAGAAACGGAAGGTGAGACAGGTCTTCCCGACGCCAGAGTCCCCGATGACTATGATTTTGAAGATGCGGGTCCTGGGCGGCGGAAGAGCCGAGCTCGTCAGGGAGCCGGACAGTTCAGCCGCGGAGCCGCTCTCTGCCATGTCGAGCCGAGACTGGGGCTGGGTGACCTCACACACCAACAGAGGCTCCTTCACTACTGCTCCCCGGGGAAAGGAAGAAAGGCGGACGCTAAAGAGCCTTCTCGAAGGCGGCTGCCTCTCACATTTACTTCCAGACTCGGACGGTGTGTAAATATCAGCTGGTAGTTATCTATGAACGGATACTGTAAATGTAAACATTGTATCTCCACCTCCGAACCACGACACCCCCGAGCATCCCCCCTGCAAAGCTGTGAAGCCACGTACTTGTACTCGAAGGGATTTGCTTCTTCTTCTTGTCGGTTTTACTGGCGGTTGGCAACAAACTGTTGGTAACATTACCGCCACTTACTGGCATGGAGTGTGGTTCGTGATGGTCTATCTATTTATCTATAACTATATCCATCCATCCATTTTCTGAACACCCTTGTCCCTCAGCGGGGTCGGGAGGGGTGCTGGTGCCTATCTCCAGCTAACGTTCCGGGCGAGAGGCGGGGTTCTATAACTATATAGTTATAGATAAATAGATAGGGAATGTAGAGATTAAAATCATTTAACTTCTGGCTCGTTGTATTCTCTTGTCCTCCCGTACTCAATGATGCCATGCGTGGAAATAAAAGCTACACAGAGATGACAGTCAACGCTCCACGTCATACATTTTCAGAGTTTATTCTAACATTTAAAAGTATAAAATAACATTGACAACACAGACACTTCAAACACACTAAAATACAGATTCATTTACCTGAGACAAATGGAAAAGAAGAAGAAAGAAAGGCAAAGACATTTTTGGAGAATTGCAAAAGCAAATCTGGTTTGTTCCTCACGTGCACAAATTTTTTATAGTAAAGGCGTATTCTTCTCTGTAATTTAAGATGAGCAAAGATAAGGTGTATCTTTGCTCATCCAACCAGGAGCTGTCTCAGACTCTATTAAAAGTTAGAAACTCCCTACAATTTGTTTTCAAGATCAAACACCAGTTGTCTCCTTTATCTAAACAAGTGGAAGCAGAGCTTCTCCTCCACTGACCTGAACTCATGCTGTTTTATGACTTTTCACAGATCAGTGGAATTTCTCCTGATTGTTTCCCGCTCAAACAAAGGGCAGATCAGAAAATCTAGCAGGCAGTCTGCTGTAAATACAGGTAAAATAAAGGTTAATAGGGCATAGTAAGTTATTAATCTGAAAACTATAATTAGGCTATTTCAATCAAGACATGTTAACAACTAGGGGAGATTACAAATTAGATTATGTTTTACAGATATTCTATGTTGCATTCAGTTTTACACCAGCTATTTAAATCTTGTCAAGATGGTCAAAAGGTTAAACTCACACAAACAGCCACGACCTCATGTGAATGCTTGTTCAATCCACAGGGAGGTTAAGAACTGTGTTTTAAATGATAGAAAACTAAAAACTAAGCTATTTTAAATTCAACTTATTGTGTTATATTTAAAATAAACATCCTACAAATGAGATGCCCACTGAACCATGGAGGCAATTTACAACCAAATGTTCTTATTTTAAAACGCTGTTAATTTTATATAATATTGTACATGTGGTTAAGTTTTAAAACTAGCATATT